TCAGGAGCCAATTCTAGCGATAGACTGAGTCACGCCTCTCGAAAGCTTTTCCGCTTTCCGGCCGTAATCGAATTTCCTGAATTTATCGACAATAAAAGCGGAAATGATTGTATTGGCGCCATTTTGAAAATGGATCGCGTTCGACAATGAACCCAATGGAAAGGCGATTGCATCGGGAAAGTCGAAAAATAAAAACTAATCGAATCGAATGATGGAAAAGGAGGATGAAGGACTGCGAAGATTCCCAGGGTTGCCAACAGTTGATTTTCTACTATAAAAATTATTTAAAAATGTATATATACATATTATATTAAAATTACAATGTATATACAATATATATGGGTGAATCTCACGAAATGGTGTTTCATAATTAAGTAGATATTACAGCTCAGGTTCCAGATTTTTAACCGCAATTAATTATTTTTTACAATGTTTTAAGAGTCTAAAACCTATCCTCCGTGACTGTTACCCTTTATAGGTTAACCTATATATTTTCAAATATCTAAGGTAGTAAAAGCATACTAAAAATATCAGTTCACTAAGTAAATTAAACACATCCAAAGCAATCGAATCAAATATAAAATATTATTAAAAATTCAAATAAATAATTTTTATAACCATTTATGTAGGTGTTACAAAAATTGATTCTATCCTCCGTGAATCTCTGTTTGCTTTAAATTTTATGCAACGGATGGCGCTTTAATCATTTTAAATAAGCAAAAACCTCTGTTTACGATATTAAAGATACATGTGATTCCTGAAGGTCAGTTAGTATTTATATGCAGATGAGAGTGTTGCTGTTTTATAATTCAAAAGTTTAAGTTCATTAATTTGCTACTTAAAAACCTATCCACCGTGAAGTGTAATATCTCAGTAAGTAGTTTTTTAATAATTATTTTATGTATGTACAATTGTATTTTTTAAAAATATTAAGGTGTCAAAAGATACAATAACATATATTTATATAAACTTGTGTGCGCTCCTGGACAAATTAAAAAGCTTCAAAACAGCAGCCGCCATGCACAGCTTTTAAGCCATTCATTTTGAGTGAAGCGTTTATTTTTACCATTACGACCGCTATATCGTTAAAAATGGAATAATTAATAAAAATATGCGCTTTCACTAACACACACATACATACATACAACTTTTGTTGTAATGCAATGGACGGCATTTTTCAACATGATCTATCGCAATAAAAAAGTTAAAAATTAAAAAAATCCCAGCATTTTCATACGCATCCAAAGCTATAAACTAAGTTTAGAGGTTGTTTTTATGGGAGATATGTTTTTATATGAATAGGACCGGATCTACAAAAAATATGGGGATAGAATTTTTGGAATCTTAAAATATTGTTTAAAAAAATCCTATGTAGTACTTATGAAGAGCTATTTTTAAATCATTAATTGAAACAATAGTTTACTTTGTCAAAATATTGTTCTCAATTCTGCGTTAAAAAATCCACAAAATGTCAAAATAAAAAAACAATTTAAATAAAAAGGCAATTAAAATTAAAATAGCGAGCATCCTACGTATTCGTACCTATAATTTGGTGGGGAAAAGAATTTGTTTGCTCAACTAATAAAAATAATAGTTAGGTGAAATAGATAAAACTAATAGGTAGGGTCAGATAATTAATGTTAAGTCCAGGTCCTTAATTATATCAGATCAGATAGGACCAAATGTTCTATTAAAATTATCTATTTCCACCATATGCCTTTTGGGCGTTTTGGTCTTTTATCCGGGGGATCAAGTGTGAGCTTACAAAAATAATTCAATTTTTTAATTAATTGATTAAAATTTTATGGAAAGTTTATAATAGTTTTTTTTGTACGAATTTTCTATTTTAAATGATTTTTATTTTTTATCACTACCTCTATATTTTTATTATTTTTTTATTTCGTCTTAGTAATGCGGTGTTAACTGATAAAGCGTTAAAAAATTTGCGTACAGTGCTCATAAAACATTCTCTTCTCTAAGCAACACTAATTAGAGTTTACACAGGTCCACACTAAATAGTGTTATTGTATAACACTACAATTAGAGTTAATTTGTAGTGTAATTTTCTCCAAGTAAGCAAGTATGATTTAACACTATAGCACTGAGGATAAAGTAATTTTACACTGTATTAAAAAGTGTTAATTTACCTAAAATCGTGTACTTCTACACTTCCTGGGTAAAATCCCACTTTTGTTCAGTTTAAATTAACACTACTTTGGAAAAGTTCTAATTTTAGAAAATTACTTTTACTCTTTTAGTGCAAACTTCTAGTGTAAATTAACACTATTATTTGAGTAAAACCTCTTGGTGGTAGTGAATAAAACGAAAAGTTAAATAAAGAGAAACATTTATTTGGAACAAAAATCTATGACAATTATCAAAATCGGTGCCTTTTAAAATATAATTTTATATTTGAGTCGTATGGCTGGCTTAAGCAAAATGGTTCCTTAAAACGTAAAAGTTTTAGATCAATGCAATGTTTTACTGGCTGTCAACTTGTAAGCAATGAGTTATCTTGAGAATTCATTAGTAATCCATTTTTCTGTTATAAAAAATAGGTGATCCCATTGGTAGAGAGCACTGTAAAAACAGTTCAAGCAGTTTCCCAGCAATTATTGTAGGCTATTTGTTGCCAGCAATTATTATAGTAAATTTAAAGCTTAACTGTATTTTTAAATACCGATTGTAAAAATACCTTAATTTTTAATTATAGTGACTGTAAAATGTATAAAATATTACAGTCAAACTACTACAATCGTTGCTGTAATTCTACCAGCATTTTACAGAACGCCTGTAAATTGTGCTAAATCTTCACAACAATTATTGCTGTAAATATACCACACACACTTGTAATAAAGATGTACTTTTACAGTGTTACTACTAACCTTATCCGTAAAAAACCCACAAAAATTGCTGTAATATTATTATTACGTATTGTAAAGATCAACCCATTTTACAGTAACTTGTAAAATCACAGTACACAAGTACACAAATAATTGCTGTGAATTTACCATTTAATATACTCAACACTTTAATTTTAATGTTATTTTACAGCGAAATTTAAGCTTTTACGCTATTAAAATTGCTGCGGTTTTAGGTAAAATTATAGTATATATATATATATATATATATATATATAATTATATAGCATAATAGTATACCTAATTATACAAACCATTTATAGAGTTAAATAACTTACACTCTAAAAAATATCTGTGTAAAATCCCGTATATTTAGAATATTATGTTTATGTAATTTTAAAATTTTTATATATGTTAATTTATGAATAAAAGTTTAAAGTTTTTTTATAAATGCAAATTTTTAACCCAGACTAGTTTTTACCTAAAAACATATCGCTATTTTAATGCTATAACTGCAGTTCCATCCATGGATAAGTCAATTTTCGTGATAAACAAAAAGGCATTAACCAACAAATGTTTTCTTGTTTGTTATGTATTTTTGTTTATCACGAAAGTTCAGTTATCCAGTTGTAGCACTAAGGGGGCGATATTGTAATATATAATATATATAATATATATTACATATATGTTTGTTTATGTAAATTTTTAATACATAACAGTTTTTATCATATATTTTCAGGAAAAAACTATTCTGGGTTAAGAAATTAACACTTATAAAAAACTTTAACAACATTATGTTAAAGTTTTTTATAAATTTAAATTTTTTAACCGATTAGTTATATTTTCAGATTATTATTCTGTTTATGAAAGTTTAAGATTTTTATAAATTTTAATCTGGAAAAAAATACAATAAATTTTTTATTTAACAAATACCTCATTTTTATTTACCCACCCAACCCCAAAAATGTGTTAAATTTAACACGACAAAATATTTAAAATAAAACCATTTGTGTTTTACCAAAAACGTGTAAAGATTACAGGCACCTATAAAATTTAAACACATAACTCTGTGTTAAGATTTAATTAGTGTTTGTACACTAATGCGGTGTAAAAATTTTTGGTTTCGTGTGGACTTAATATAACACAGTTTGGTGTTAAAGCGTGTTAATTATTTTTTAGAGTGTAGGCTGTAGTAATTGGGGCTTACCTATAATTATTCTAGACAGTAAGAATATTTAAAGTACACTATTTAAAAAGTAAATATTGTTAAATAATATATCCTGTATACAAGGAAGAGCAGGTCAATCTCTATTATTATCACTATTTAGGGTAGGATTAAAAAAAAACATCAAAATTCCTCTTCATGTTTTAACCTGAAGTATAGGTTTAATCTTATCAGTCCATACATATCTATATCTAAATAAAACTTTATTATAATATTGTAATATTCAATAACATAAATACATAAATATTATAATAATCAATAACATAAAAAATAAAAAACATAAAACCTACTCAGGTACTACGTGTTTTTAGTCTTAAGAATATGTTTTCAGTCTTAAGAATATGTTTTCAGTCTTAAGAATATGTTTTCAGTCTTAAGAATATGTTAACATACAAACTTAAATCAAATTCATTAGTAATAAAATATACAGGAAAGTAATAATTTGCTGCTACTATTTCGCAACCGCGGTGTATTCTGTTTCAAATCTATTTGCGAAAATACTATATAAATTCATGGTTGTAAGATGACAATATTGTTTTAAGAAATATTTACTGTTTTCGAAAATAAATTTAAAACCCGACTACAAAAATGTTACATTATGAAAAATATGTGCATTTTAAGAGGATTGAACACAAGCTCATTTTTACAGTACAAAATACCGCGCAACGACGTCTTAGAAAGAACTCTTCCCTCTCGCGGCTCCACTGGAGCCGCTCCAGGGTAAATAAGAAAAGGACGGACGATATAAAATCAAAATTTCCTACTTTTGAAATTTTGAAAAAAGTACCTAACATCAAATCAAAATTGTTATGTCAGTACCAGTGAATTCTACAATTTGAGATGCATATTAAAACATGTCATGCATGACCATGGTACTGTGAAATGAAGTCGTTTTCAATTCCTTTATATAATAAACACTAATATAAAAAAATCGCAGCAGTCGACAGCACGAATTAGGAAGTTTTGCCCTTGGAGAAAATAAAAAAACAATTCATATAACAAAAAAAACTACGTATTAATATAAAAACTACACATTAACATAAAAACCTTAAACTGTCTTTGTTGATATTGTTTAATATAAGGGAATATTACATTAAACAATGATGTACGGTAATACAAAACATTAAGGTTTATACAGAATTTTTTAACTTAGTTATTAATGCAATTACTTTTCTTTTGGACGCTTCAACCTTCTTAGACTTGGTGCCGGTGTCGGGATGGTCATTTAAAATATATCTTTGTATCATTTCCAAAGTTGTACTCACATTTCTTGGAAATTTGACACCAAAATTAAAAAACAGACAGAAGCATATATAAAACGCTTCAGTAAACGAGGGGTATCCTTTATCACTTATAAGGTTCTTCTCCATGGCTACATTATATATTTTTTGACCACTCATATCTAAAAATAAGACACACGCGATATTTTAATTGACAATGTTAAATTAAAACCTAATTTCTAAATCCGCTTATCTTTATAAGTTAAACCTCATCAATTCTCTATAACCTATTAGGTTATAGAGATTTGATAATGAATAACATTAAATCTGATTTTTTTATAAACTGTAAACTCACCAAATTCAATCAAAACTGGTTCAAGTATTGGTATTTCTTCCAAAATGGTGTTATCTTCAGGACTGACATTCTATAAAAAAATTTCATTATAAGTCAAAGGCAAAGTATTATTATATCAAAGAACGTATATTATATATACTATCGTCCACATTATAAAAGCCCACTTTGACATTTCATTGAGGAACGCAGCCTTTTGATGACAAGCCATTGTAAGTCAACGTAATTTTTTTAAGTAAAATTGTATTTTTACGTTTTCATGTCAATGATATGCAAACGTTAAAATACAATTTAACTTTAAAAAAATTACGTGGAATATACAATGACTTGTCATCAAAAGGCTGCGTTCCTCAATGAACTGTCAAAGTGGGCGTTTATGATGTGGATGATAGTATATATATATATATATATATATATATATATATATATATATATATATATATATATATATATTTTAATCAAAAAGTGTACATATGCTGCAACAAATTTTTATTGCTAGTGGAAAGCGAATCCACGACCTCTGGGTTTCCGATGCTCTAACCATCTGAGCTATGGTGACATACATAACTACAAATTTTTTAGTCGAAGGTTTGTTGATGGTTTATTTCTTTTATACATATACGCTGATAAAAATGGGTGGAAAACTACATAGTATAAGGGGTCATCCATAAAATACGTCACACGTTTGGGGGGGGAGGGGTCGGAGATTTGTGACGAAATGTGACATGGGGGAGGGGGGGGGTCGGTCGTGTGTGACGTCACAAAAAAATCTTTTTTTTTTCAATATTTTATTCAATGTTTTTTCGGAAAAATTCTGACGCTTCTGGGCAAAATGTGGAAAAAAACAAAAAAATATAGAAAAATGAGTGTGACGTGACCTCGGGGGGGGGGGGTCGAGACTTTGTGACGACGTGTGACATGGGGGGAGGGGGGGGGTCTAAAATAGGCCAAAAACGTGTGACGTATTATATGGACGACCCCTAATATGTAACATTTACAAATTATATTATGCTTTTATTTGTTTTACACTAAATAATATGAAATTTTACAATAAATGTAAATTTAAAGATATAAAATTTTATTACATTGTATTATACTGATAAAAATGGGTGAAAAAACTATATAGTATAATATGTAACATTTACAGATTATATTATGTATGCTTTTATTTTGTTTACACTAAATAATATAATAATTTCACAAAAAAATTAAATTTAAATAATTAAAGATGTAAGACTTTTATTACATTGTAATAAACCTGGTAAAATGTAAAAATTCATAATTTATTGTGCGTATTTACATGATTATTTGTGTAAATGTTAAGCTTTAATTTTCATAAAAATGAGATTTACATTGTAAAATGTAAAATTACCACACTTTACCTTGGTTGCCAACGTAAAATTATGTTATTTAAATAATTTTTTTTTGCGTAAAAAAAAATAATTTATTGTTTGAATTTACATGTAACATGATTCTTTGTGTAAATCGGCTGCTTTATTCCAAAACCTAGTCACCAACATTTTTTAAAATGTGTTTTGTGTACTATTGCATAAGAATACTAATATGCAATAGTGCATAAAACGAATTTTTCAAAAAAATGTTTTTTTACTAGGTTTTGGGATGAAGCAGTCGAAATGTTGCGCTATAATTCTCATAAAAATGAGATTTACATTGTAAAATGTAAAATTACCACACTTTACGTTGGTTACAAATTGCCAATGTAAAGTTATGTAATTTTACATGATTTTTTTTACTGTCTATACACTGCAGCCTATAGCCTGTAGGCTTTTATAACTACTTATTCGCAAAAAATTGCTTCCCCATTCACCCAAAATGAACCAATGGTAAAAAGTTTTATGCATACATACTAAAAATAAACCTCTCAAAAAAAGTGAGTAGTTATGCCAACCTAGCTTACATGGCATTATAATATATAATACATTATATGATATTATATATTACATAATAAATTATATAATACATTATATAATACATTATATAATATATTATATAATATATTATATAATATATTATATATTATATTATATAATATATTATATAATATAGAGCATTGGGCAGAAAGCTTATAAAGGTCGTCGTTCGACTAACACTGGTGACGAACATACACTTCTAAATTTTAAAAAAATCACAAAACATTAATTAAAAATTAGGGCTATAACGCTAGGGCAGTACATACCTGAAATTGGTAGAAAAATGATTTTAGGTCTTCTTTAAAGTGAGTTGCTAATACTCTTAATACTTTTAACACGAGTTCCTCGTCATCATTAATTTGCTGCTTCTTTAATTTTCCATATTCCATAATCTTTAAATATTTTTTATCATTTTCAAGTACAGGCTTTTCAGTCAATTTCTTAAAATGCCGGAAAATTGCATCTTTAATTAAAAGTACAGGCCACTCACTTTTAATTTCAGCAAAAGTCGGTGGATTAGAGCGTGTCAAAAACTCTCTTTGAGAAGGATAAGTCTCTTCTAACAATTCATAAAATCTAGGATCGTCAATACTCATACTATTTAATAGTGTTTTAGAAATAGTTACATCTTTTTCAACTGCAGGCATCCACTTAGATAACGAACAACCTGCCCTACGATTATTTATCTCTTTAAGCATTTTAGCAGGTATTTTTGGTTTCAGAAACTCCCCCGTTCTCTTATGTGACCTATTTAAATACCAATTGCGATCTTGTAGCTGAGACAACAGTGTCGATAAACCACTTCCCAAAACTTTACCGTCTTCGTCTGTATCTAGGAAGACCTTAGGATATCTTTCAACCAATTTTTTTGCAACTATTTTAAAAGCCTTGTTTGGAATTTGTTCTTTAATGTTTCTCATATCATTAACCAATATGTGAACAATTTCTCTTCTTTGGGTTTTGTCAATGCTTCCATTTTCACAAGAGTTTAACATATAGGCAGGAATTTTGTCCCATGGGATTTCGAATGATTCCCATGTGTATTCCGAAATATTACTAGTGCTAACAATTTTATCTGTATTGTCATTGGCAGGAACCTCAAGTAAAATGAAATTCTGTTTTAATGATTCTTTGTTTGGTCCCGGTAAAATAAATTGCTCTTGTAATAGTTCGTTGCTTGGTCCAGGTAAAATAAGGTTATGTCCTAAAGGTTCTAAGCTTGGTCCAGGCGTGTCCGAGAAAACATCGTTCATATCCGTGTCACTGGTCATGGTTATAGTAGAGCTGGATAAAGAAACATTGCTGCTACTACAGGCAACGGGTGACCAGTTATCCCCCGGCTGGAGAAGAATTAGGATTTCTTTTGTCATTTCTCGAAGTACCTCGTCGTCGCTTATTTCAGTGCCATCACTTTCCAGTACAATAACGCTTCCGTTAATTTGTAGTTTCGCTGAAGCTAAAAAATGTTACACTAGTTGGGAGGGGAAAAAATAAGATGAAGGGAAAACCAAAATACGTGTTAATTTTAAAGCACGAATATCATAGGTGTAAGAAAGAAATCTTCAAAATTATTATTAGTTTTAAATTTTACAATATAGAGCCCTAAAAAACTATTGTATTGTAACGTTTTTAACTGTTCGTAGTGTGAATTAAAACACGCACTGGTTTATTAACGAACTAAACTATTTATTTAATAACTTAACTACACTTAAAACACTATAAAACTAACTAAACACTTAACTACTAATTATTTATATATCACTACTGTTCAAGAGTCTATTTATTTGCACTTATATTTATTTATTTCGACGCGAGTACCAAAACTGGACTGACTGCCGTGTGCTGCTCCGATTCTTATATATTCAGCGCCAAGGTCTTCTGGAACATTCCAGCGAGCTCCACACTCTCGATTGTTCGAGCGCTGAGTCACCGGCGATGACTCATCGGCGATGACTAACCGGCGATGAGTCATCACTCCGATATCCAGAGCGGTACTCGCTACATTGCCCCCGTCTTAAAACATTTTCGTCCCGAAAATGGTCCTCAGCTCCATGGCGATATTTGCATAGAGATCCAAACTTGCATTGTGACGTCCTATAGAAGTAGCAGTCTACGGTCTTCCTTCCGGTTGTTCTTTTAGGGTTGTGGCAACAGACAAGAATGTGTATGCCACAACCCTAAAAGAACAACCGGAAGGAAGACCGTAGACTGCTACTTCTATAGGACGTCACAATGCAAGTTTGGATCTCTATGCAAATATCGCCATGGAGCTGAGGACCATTTTCGGGACGAAAATGTTTTAAGACGGGGGCAATGTAGCGAGTACCGCTCTGGATATCGGAGTGATGACTCATCGCCGGTTAGTCATCGCCGATGAGTCATCGCCGGTGACTCAGCGCTCGAACAATCGAGAGTGTGGAGCTCGCTGGAATGTTCCAGAAGACCTTGGCGCTGAATATATAAGAATCGGAGCAGCACACGGCAGTCAGTCCAGTTTTGGTACTCGCGTCGAAATAAATAAATATAAGTGCAAATAAATAGACTCTTGAACAGTAGTGATATATAAATAATTAGTAGTTAAGTGTTTAGTTAGTTTTATAGTGTTTTAAGTGTAGTTAAGTTATTAAATAAATAGTTTAGTTCGTTAATAAACCAGTGCGTGTTTTAATTCACACTACGAACAGTTAAAAACGTTACAATTAGAATGTGTATGCCACTAAATCTGAAGATAACTTCCACCATACTTCTAATTATTCTCCAGTCTAAACCGTCAAGTCCACAAGCAATCTTCGGTATCGCCAGGTTCATGATGTCCTTGGATAAAAGGGCATCCCTCAATTTATTTAAGGCATTCCATAGGTCACGGTAGTTTGGCTTCTGATGGGAGAGCTGCTTCGTTACCAGATAGAAGATACTTCTATTGCCTATCTGCTCTTTATCCACAATTTCAAGCACCTCTCCAACTTTGGGATTCTGCCTTCGTAGATCGTCGACCCGTCCAAACTTGTTTTTAAAGACAACCGCTATTCCCCTGGACATCCTTAGGTCTTCTGCAACACAGTGAGCCAAGGAGTAATCGGCCGAAACCGTGAACAGATCTTGTTGTTCTTCTCGAGTGACACCAAAGCGAGCTTTTTTACCGCTCGAATATAAATACATGAAGTCTTCAAAAGGCAAGTCTTCTTCCGGCGGATTAACCTTCCTTACTCTAGCGTCGTTTATTTGGTCATCATTGTTTCCAGCGTAAGGAGCCAATCGGTTAAAATGGATCACTTTCGGCTTTCCTCTTGGTTGTTTCCTGATCCTATAGATGATGTCATCCACGCGATCCATGACTTCGTATGGTCCTTCCCAAGAAGTCTGCAGCTTCGGTGAATAACCACGACGGCGCTGAGGGTTGTATAACCAAACTAGGTCTCCAGGTTGAAATCCTCCATTTTCCGCCTTGATGTCATATGTCTCTTTCATTCTATCACTGGCACTCTGGATGTTTAAACGAACTCGGCTGTGAATGTCGCTCATTTTTCTACGTAAATTGTTGACGTAATCTTCTCCAGCAATATCTTCCCCTGGTAGGCAACCAAACCTCAGGTCACAAGGTAGACGAAGTTCACGTCCCATAACAATGCTAGCGGGTGTCTGGCCGGTTGTATCGTGGATAGAAGAACGGTACGCCAACAGGAACAGATGGAGGAAGCGGTCCCAGTCTCTTTGGTGATCAGAGACTACCTTCGAAAGGTACCTGTTTATCGTTCGATTCATTCGTTCCACCATTCCATCAGACTGCGGATGTAATGCGGTCGTCCTCGTCTTCCGAATGTTAAGAATCTTACACACATTCTGGAACAATATAGATTCAAAGTTCCTGCCTTGGTCTGAATGCATTTCCATTGGGACACCAAAACGACAAATCCACTCCTTAATAAGGGCATCGGCTACTGTGGCGGCTTCCTGGTTTGGCAAGGCGTACGCTTCTGCCCACTTGCTAAAGTAGTCCATTACAACGATGATGTATTTATTTCCAGATTCTGTTTCCGGAAATGGACCCGCCACGTCGATTGCAATTCTTTCAAATGGGCTGCCCACATTGTACTGTCGCATTGGGGCTTTTGGGCGCTTCTGGGGTCCATTGCTTGCCGCGCAAACGGCGCACTTCTTGCACCATTCCTTTACATCTCGTTGGCTGTTGACCCAATAAAACCGTTCCCTAAGTCTTCCGAGCGTCCTGGTGACCCCAAGATGTCCTCCAGTAGTTCCATCATGGATTTCCTGCAGCACTTCTGGTATCCTGTTTCTGGGGATTATTATCTGCTTCCGGTCTTCCCCCCCTTCTGGCATCTCCAGAACGCGCTTTAGAAGCCCGTCACTTAAGATGATGGAATTCCATTGGGCCCAGTACGATTTCACATTCGGCGAATATTGGGCGACTTCCTGCCACGTTGGTTTACGGTCGTTCTTCTTCCAATCGATGATAAGCTTCAAATCCGGATCCCTTTCCTGGTCTTGTTGAACCTCAGCGGATTGCCAATGATCATCCACGATTGTAGTTCTGCGAACAAACACATCCTTTTCTTCGGCCCTGAGACAATGTTTACAGTCTTCCGGGCACGGTCTTCTTGACAAGGCGTCAGCATTTCTATGGATCGTCCCAGCCCGATGTTCTGTGTCAAAGTCGAACTCCTGTAGTCTCTCAATCCATCTTGCTACCTGTCCTTCAGGATTCTTGAATTGCAAAAGCCATTTTAGGGCAGCATGATCCGTTCTTAGCAAGAATTTTCTTCCATACAGGTACTTGTAAAAGTGTTCGACTGCCTTTACCACTGCCAACAGCTCGCGTCGAGTAACACAGTAATTTCGTTCTGGTTTGGATAAAGTTTTACTGAAGTATCCAATAACTTTCTCCTTTCCCGCTTGAATCTGCGACAAAACAGCTCCCAGGCCCACATTACTTGCGTCCGTGTCCAAAATAAATTCACCATCCGGAAGAGGATAACTTAAGACTGGTGAGCTGGTCAACGCGTTTTTCAGGTTCTTAAAGGCTTCTTGGCATTCTTCGTCCCATTGGAATCGTCTTTCTCCCTCTGTTAAACGTGTCAAAGGCTTAGCAACCTTTGCGAATCCAGGTACGTACCGCCGGTAGTAGGTGCATAATCCAAGAAAGCTTCTTAAGTCATGTTTGTTTTTCGGTACTGGCCATTCCCGCACCGTCTTCACCTTCTGTTTGTCCACTGCCACTCCTTGACTCGAAACAACATGGCCCAAATACTGCACTTCTCTCTGGAACAAGTGACATTTCTTCGGGCTTAGCTTCAGGCCGGAACTTCTTAAGCGCTGAAAGACTTCCTTCAGGTTCTTCATATGGTCCTCAAATGATTTCCCAACCACAATGATGTCGTCAAGGTACACCAAGCATGTCTTCCAGGATAGTCCCTTTAAAACCATTTCCATGAGCCTTTCAAAAGTTGCAGGGGCATTACATAGTCCAAACGGCATGACAGTAAACTGCCACAGTCCAGCACCCACGGTAAACGCCGTCTTTTCTCTATCTTCTGGTGCCATTTCAACCTGCCAGTAACCGCTTTTCAAATCCAGAGTCGAAAATATTTGGGATCCAGCCAATGTATCCAGGGTGTCATCGATCCTAGGTAGAGGGTAGCTGTCCTTCTTCGTCACGTTGTTCAGCTGACGAAAATCGACGCAAAATCGAGTTGATCCATCCTTTTTCTTAACTAACACCACTGGGGAAGACCATGGGCTGTTGGATGGTTCGATCACCCCTTCCTTCTCCATTTCTTGCACAATTTTATCAGCTTCCTCTCGCTTGGCAAGTGGTAGCCTTCTTGCCGACTGTCGAATGGGCTGTGCATCACCGGTGTTAATTTTATGCTGGACAATTCTTGTCCTACCCTTCTTTTCTTGTCCATCATCAAAGACGTCCTGATAGTTGTGTATCAGCTCTCTCAGCTTTATTCTCTCATTTGGTTTTAAGTCCTTTGAAGAAGTCGAAAGCAGAGTCGTCAATTCATTGCTAATTTTCTTGGCCGGAACTCCAGACTCACGAATGCTTCTAATAATTGAGGAAACTGAGGAACAGTTCCCCAAGACGATTCCTTTTTTCAAGTTCACAGAGTAACCATTAACATTCAATACTCTTACAGGCACTTCTTTTCCGACACGTATTAAAGTCTTCCCTACTACAACTCCTCGACCGACCTCTTTGTCATCAATTCTCGGCTCCAGAAGCATTATACTTCCATCTTCTGATTTACAATCCAAGAAAGCCTTCAATATCATCTCGCTGTGTTCCGGTATCAAAGCATCTTCTGTTAGCATCACACGAATATTCTTCTCTTTAGATCGATGCAACACGACTTCCTCTCCATTTACTCTCAATATTCCTTGTTGAAAGTTTAATTCAAATCCTATAGAGTTCATAATGTCCATGCCTACAATAACTTCATCTTCAATATCTGCTACTAATGCTCGATGTTTAAATTTCGTGTTTCCTATGACCATCGTGATGTCCACTTCTCCATGAACAGTAGCAGTATCTCCTGTTGCAGTACGTAGTCGCCTATTGGTAGATTTGATCTTGGACATTTCGACAATATCTGGC